TTATCGAATAATTGGACTAATTGGATATATTTTAATACTTTGGATTCAGCGATATCGAATTTATCAGTAGCTCTCGGTCTTTATAATCATTGGAAAAATAGTAAAAACCACTAATACTTTGGGGATCTGTATYTCACAAATCAATCAATAAAAAACAAAAATTGTTAACACGTAAATTCATGAAAAAAATTGTTTTATTAATTCGCGATATTTTAACTATATGTTACCTTTTGAAAATTAAAATTCAATATAGTAGCTTCACTTATAATAAATATAAGGGCGAAAAAAATTAAAATGTATACTGTTTTAAAATATCATAAACGTTTAAAAAAAAATCAAAAAAAAATTATTACTATTCGAGTTTATAAGTGTACTCACTTAAATAGATTATCATGTACCTATATGTAAGTGATTGAAATTAATATAATCATAGTCAATAGTTATTAAAAAATAAAAATGCACGTAATTTTATATACGTATGATATTTTTAGGTTGGTTTACCAATTCGTTTAAAAGCTGTACATGTTTTAAATGCCGGATCAGCTACGCAAATGATAATGAAAATGGTAACACGATTCGCTAATCAAGAATTATTAGAGAAGGTAAAATAAAATTTTGATATATTGATATATACAATAAAAAGATGTGTATAAAGATATACTGATATACATCATAATTTGATGAGACATTGTATTTAAAAAAAATGGACAGTAAAAAAGTTGTTACTTCTACCCATATTTTATCAAATTATAAATATTTTAATACCTAAATACGTAATTTAATTTGCCTACCTAACATAATGTAATGGAGCCAAGAAATAATATTATCTATTGAAATCCATATTTTTAACCCACAAATCAAAATTCAAATTACATGAGAAATTACGCTAACACTTACATACAATTAACGTATTAGTATGAGTATACAGGTAAGCTAAGGGTGTCTCTGAGGGGTTATTGAAGTGTTTACCTCTTCTTTTGTGCCTTTTTTTCATAGATCAAGTTTTATATTCTTTAACTAAATTTGAGTTAAATATCGAAATTTAACAAAATTTTGTAAAATAAAATATAATAATCAAATCAAACATATTAACAACTATTGTTATAATTCATAACGTTGTATATTTTAATATACTAATTTTCAAAATATAAAATGTTCAATACTCTCTCAACACTAAAAAACGTCAGGGACTCAAGACAGACACATTATTTAATAGTACATCGTGCTATCAACYGTATTTGTGAATGTGAGCATAATGATACGATTATCCCAGCATAACACTAATAAATCATATACCTATAAACTATAAAAAAGGAAAATTAAACATTTATGTTGCTTAAGTAAATTATACATAGAAAAACTACAATTAATTTCATATTAATAGGTGTGTTGTACAGATGACCGGGTATGTCTTAAGATACACTAAACGAATATTGTCATTWGCTAAACGTGTTTACGTATCTACTCGTAAATTACAGTTAAATTAATTATATTTAATTATTATAATATAACTTATTATTCATAGTAAAAAAAAAAACCACACATTATAATATTATACTATAATTTATAATGTTAAATAATAATCTCTGTATATTATATAGGTACAGGGTGATTCCTTATATTATAATGTTATCTCGATAAGTGCCTATAAAGATTTTTTTAAATCTCATATTTTAACATAATTTGAAAACATTATACAATTATATGTTTGAAAAGAAATTACATCTTTACTCTTTTAATAACATCTATTATTAGTTTCATTTTCGGAACCAGAATATATTTGTGAGTACCTAATATAATTTGAATGTGAAATAGAAAGGTAACACTTCCTCCTCACGTAATTTGTATTATTATCAACGCTATTTCAATTATAATAAATGTAGATGTTCTACCTACAACCGACGTAAAA